TCGCGGCCGTGCTTGGTTTTTTGTTGGTTGTTATGATTTGTGGTGATTGATGGTGGCGGTCGCGAAGGTGGTGGTGGTGTAGTCGATGGTTGAGTTGACTTTGGGTTGGTGGTTTGCAGATGGTGATTGCAGGTGGTGGTCATGCAGCTGGCGATTGGTGCTGCGCAGCGCCCTACAGTGTGTGGGTTGGTGGTTTGCAGATGGTGATTACAGGTGGTGGTCGTGCAGTTGGCGATTGGTGCTGCGCAGCGCCCTACGGTGTGTGGGTTGGTGGTTTGCAGATAGCGATTGCAGGTGGTGGTCGTACAGATGGCGATTGGTGCTACGCAGCGCCCTACGGTGTGTGGGTTGGTGGTTTGCAGATGGCGTTTGCAGGTGGTGGTCGTGCAGATGGCGATTGGGGCTACACAGCTCCCTACGGTGTGTGGGTTGGTGGTTTGCAGATGGCGATTGCAGGGGTGGTCGTACAGATGGCGATTGGTGCTACGCAACGCCCTACGGTGGTCGAATGCCCAAATCAAACACCATCTGCTTGTGGTGATGGTGGGTTTGACGCTCAAGACTCCACCACCGCCTTCTCATCTCCGGCTACTGTACCTACTTTTGTTTCTGTTGTAAATCTGCCTCATACTTCCGTCTTTGCTTGCAGCGCCATGCGTGATGGTTGCTCGGCGCTGCGTTTTTCTTTTTTTTTGTTGTTGTGGAGTGAGGACGACTGGATGGTGGTGGAGCGCCGTTGTTGTTGATGATGGTGGTGGCACCATGTGGAGCGGAGTGGGGCTGTGGTGATGTTTTGATGGTGTTTTGTGCACAGCAGTGTGGTTGGTGGTGGTGTTGATAGTCATCCGATAGCGGTGGTGTTTTGTGTGGTTGGATGCGACGGTGGTGCTGTGTTGTGTGGTTGGATGTGGCGGTGGTGGTAGTGTTTTGTGTGGTGTTGGTTGTTGTTGCGATGGTGGTGTTTGTTCTGGTTGTCGTGGGGTAGTGGTGGTGATGGCGACGGCGGGGTGAGGGTGGTCAAAAGTGGTTAAAGTGGTAGTGCTGTGGTATGTGATCAATTATTTGGTTATCTGTGACCAAGTATTTAACAGTGACCTAAAAATTTGACAATATGTGACTGAAAAACTATATGTGACCAACAAATCTGAAAATAAATTACAAATGAAATTAACCATTTTTTTTATCTGTGACCAATTAATTTGAAAATCTGTGATTGTATGACCTACAAATTTTGATTTGTAACCAAGTAATTTTGAAATCTATGACCAATGAATTAATTGTGACCTATAATATTTTTGAACTGTGACCGTAAATTGTAAATTTATTACCAGAATGGTCGTCGGAATAGTCGTTGGAATAATCGTCGGAATCGGAGCAGTCGTCGGAACGATCGTCTGAGAAGAGTTGTGGTCGAATGGTCGTCGGAATAGTTCGCGGAGCGGTATGAGTGGTGTATGTGGAATGTGTTAATTATATTATATTAGAATTAAATATTTAATAATAAATTGATTTAATAATTTATTATTTCATAAATTAAAATTTAAAAAACCTGATTTTTGAAATTTGAAACTTGTTTTTGTATTTTTGAAANCGCTCGATTCGGTTAGGGTTCGGTTTGGTCCGATTCGATCCGAGACTTTTGGACACCCCTATTTTTTTCTCAATTAAATCCCTTGCAAGACCTTCCGTCAAAAGTTCTCATGTCATAAAAACTCAATCTTTTTGTGGAGTTACTTAATTGTTCAAGAAATTATAAGGTTGATCACTGAATTCATCAGTCAAAACAGTTTTATGTACACATCTAATTCTCATATGTAGAGAATAAGATACATATATTCTCTTTATAGCTTTAAATCCCTAGCCTTATCAACCAATCTTATTGCATTCGATTTTCTTATCAAAATATTGTTTACACCTTAGTACTTAACTTCTTTTGAAGATCAATTAGGTATTAAGAGTCTGTTTGGTACAGATTCTCATTTTCTATAGTAAATCAATTTTCATTTTCAACCACACATTCTTCAATAAAATAATATTTTCCATCACATCAATACTTTTTTCTTCTTTTTCAATCATACATTTCCCGTCATATCACTATTCAAAAATCAATTTTTCCCCCAAAAATCTCTACCAAACACACTCTAGGTATCTCTTACATATTTCTTTAGATACTGTCTATAATGTACAAATCCTTATTCGTCCATGTAAAAAGAAACTCCTCCTTAACCGCATCTATCTGGAACTTGCACAAGCTGATTGATAACGAAGAAAAACAGAATTGGGGGTGGGGATGATGATAAAATGAATTGAAGAATCAATTCACTACTAACTGAAATTGCATAACAGAATTCTTGTACCCTCCACATTATCTACCCTGACTTTCATGGAATTGGCTACATCAATTGGTCATCGGTCACCGATCAATGGTCTCCGCCCTAGTTGAACCAAATTCCTGAATTTGCCCCTGATTGGACCTCCTCTCGATCTCCATTTTCGTTCATTCTAGAATGTCTTTTTCAACTTGACCTCTTACTTTCCTCTATTATCGTATCCGTTTTCACCATCGACCTTATTTTCCTTGAAGTAGATGCGAGTAGATGATTGGTCATCCACTAGTAGGTGCACTTATCGTTGGGCTTTATTGGGCCTCGACTCTGTTGAACACTGTGGGCCTTTTACAGTTTATTAACCCAATCGTACTCGATATGTTGAGCCTCATCTTCGGCGCAGCCCATCAGAAATTTGTTGAATAGAAAGAGACAGATAATCTAACCGCTAAATAGCAAGTTAGTGGACACGTGGCTTGATCATATTGTTCAGGGGTAACTTTTTACCAAATTTCACCTAGTGGGTTGGTAAATTTGGTGCAGTACATTGCCCATGAAACTAACGTGAGGCGGTTGCAAATTCTGTCTCACGGGGGCCAACAAGTGCAACAACCACGTCATTTGTAACAAAAGTTGAGGGTATTTAAGGAAATTCATTTCAAACAACTCCTCCAAAATGCGTACTTCAAGGGATACGTGGCTGCAATTCGACACCACCATCCTAATTTCTTGACACGTACACCTCGATAGGATTAAATAGAGTATACCACGTCATATGCCAGCGAGGCATTTTCAGTCCTAATCAGCAATCCATATTCAAGTGCTTTATGAAGTCCACCGCCTGGTCTTTTCGTACCAAAAGCTCTTCTCCTTCTCCCTCTCCCTCTTTCAAACAAGGGGTTAGCGTGTTAGTGCGTGTTTTTTTCTGGTACTCCGGAGATTTTGGTTGCCGGAAATGGAGATACCGAGCGTCGTCGATCATTTCCCGATCTCTGGTTTGGTGACGTGATATTGCGTTTGCTAGGCGTTTATTCTGTGTTTTAGTGGTATTTGTAAACCCTAAGCAAAAGCGAAGATTTTTAATTTTAGTTTGCATAGTTTAGAAGTTATTCTATACTTTGTCTCGGGAATTCTTTCAAGCAAGTCATTATTATAATCATCTAGATAATCCGCCAGATAAAAGTATCAGTTTTCGCTTTAAGCCTCTCAAATTTCGGAGATCGGTTAGTTTTTACCCGAACTCTTGATTCCCGTGTTTAATCGAAAATATAAACCATCGTATTTTTTGTTTAATCGGTATGCCTATAGGAGAGTGCCCAATCTTTGAGTTTTTTAAATGATCGAGGTATTCTGTGGCCAATTTTCCTGAAATTGATGAGAAAGTATTTAGCGTAAAACAGGAGGACTAGATTTAGAGTCTGAAGTCTTCATCATCATTAACTGAGCGTTGATGCCCCAAAAAAAACTATGTGCTGTGAAAAATGGTTTTTTGAAAACTGAAAGCTCGAGATAATTCCAAAAGAATAGCGTTTTCAAATTTCGATCACCAGAATGCCTTTCCCAATGAAAATTCAACCAGTTGATTTCAACGTCCAAACTGAGCCACCTATACTTGAGCCGGTGAAGCCAGTGACAAAATCGAGGTTCAAGAGGCTTTTCGAGAGGCAATTTTCCAGCGTTCTGAGAATATCAACGCAGGAAAAGGCTGCCGGCAACGGAGGCTCTGATGAGCCTCATCACTGTAACAAGGATGGTCCTGAAGAATTCGAGCCAAGCTCTGTTTGCCTTGCGAAAATGGTTCAGAATTTCATCGAGGACAACAACGAGAAACCCCACAGGTGTAGCCGTAACAGATGCAGTTGCTTTAATAAAAACTGCTCGGACAGCTCCGATGAGGAACTTGACTCATTCAATTGCTTTGGTGATTCAACCTATTCTCCTTCAACTGACGCACTTGATCTTGTCAAGGTAGATAAATGGATTTTAGATATTTTTGTTATATTTTTCTTGCTGATAATAGTCTATCTGAAAAATATTCCGTTGAATACACGCAGAGTTTGGTACCTTGTGTGTGTGTTTTTGAGAGAAATCTGTTAGCAGACACTGCAAGAATTGTTGAGAAAAACAAGATCAGTAAACGAAAAGACGTTTTTTGTAGAACAATTGTAACTGACAATCTAATTGCTCTTGGATACAATGCTTCAATTTGCAAATCTCGCTGGGAAAAATCCCCCTCTTTTTCCTCAGGTAATTCTCTCTTTCTATCTGCTACGCAATTTGTTCTGTTTCTTTCTGGGAAAAATCCCTCTTTTTGTTTATTTTTTGCACAATATGATAAATTTTGTCCCCCTTTTCTCCAATTTCTAACAGGGGAATATGAATATGTTGATGTGATGATTGAAGGGGAGAGGTTTATAATTGACATTGAATTTCCATCAGAATTTGAAATTGCTAGATCCACCAAAGCATACAAATCGATTCTCCAAACACTACCTAACATATTTGTAGGTAAAGCTGATCGCCTTGAGAAGATCATTGACATTGTATCAGATGCAGCCAAAGAGAGCTTGAAGAAAAAGGGCATGCCATTTCCACCATGGCGCAAGGCCGATTATGTTAAGGCCAAATGGCTCTCTCCTTACACCCGAACTACTTTGGGCGTAACTGGTGAGGAAGTAAAGGATCTGATTACAACAAAAACAAGTTCTTGTGTCGAATTTGAGTTGATTTTTGGGGAGAAATGTTCGCCTAATGAGACTAACAACAGTGGAAACAACTCCATTTTTACTATCTCTAACAGTACATCTTCAGACAAGAGCATGACTCCATTGATGAAGCCATTGGAAATTAGGCCAAGAAGTTTGCAGAAAGGAGTGAAGATGGTTACCGGTTTAGCTTCTGTAATTGAAGATAAACCATGAAAGTTTTGATTTTTTTTTTGAGTTTCGCTTTTGCCTTGTGGGTACAATATTCTGGTAGGCTAATCATTCCCTTCTCCTTTTATTGTAAGGGTGTTGAACTGCTGCTATTACTGCTTAATATGATCAATAATGATGATCAAGTAAAGAACAGCTTTATAGAATTTTGGTATCAAATATTGCTTTTTGATGATTTCTTTGATCTTTAATCATCATATTGTTCTTAAGTGCACCCTAGCTTTGTGTATTCATCATTCCCTGTCCATGGAATGACCCCAAAAACAACTGTTTTAAGCCATTTCTCTCCTATTTTCTGGTTGCACTACGGGAAAAATTGAATTATAAAGAATATGTATCAATTGCAAGTTGCGTCTCGCCCCCTTTTTCCTGGATGCATCGTTAGGAAAAAAACGAGTTTTGAAAAATTTGTATCAAGGGACAAGTTGCACTTAAAAGATAATCTGTGTCAACGTCTTTTTGTGTAGACGTGTATTATCTTTTGGAAATTTGGACCGGGGAACATTTGCATATCCAAAGTACTTGGTTTTCCGTGTTCTTTTGTCACATAGTGCATTGGAAAAAAAATAGAATTTTGAATAGTGATTTTTAGAAGGATGTGTGGTTAAAAAGTTTGAGTTTATGTGTATAGGGGTTGTTTGTTTCTGATTCTCAAAATCAATTTTCATTTTCAACCACATATTTTTCAATAAAATAATATTTTCCATCACATCAATAATTTTTTATTCTTTTTTCAACCACACATTTCCCATCATATCACTATTCAAAATTAATTTTTCCCCCAAAAATCCATACCAAACAAGCACATAATATTTTATTGTGTAAATGTATAATTGAAAATGAGCGTGTAGAAAAAAGAGTTTGAAAGTAATAGTTGTGCTATATAAGGGTGTATTTGATGGGTATTATTGAGAAAAAAATGTATTTTAAATAGTGATATGATAAAAAATATGTGGTTAAAAAGTAAGGAAAAATTATTGATGTGATGAAAAATATTATTTTATTGAAGAATGTTTGGTTGAAAATGAGTTTTGAAAGAATGTATTTCGAAAGTATATGCACCAAACATGGGTTAAATATTTTTTATTTAAATAAACAATCGTATTGAAACCCATTTTTTTCTCATTCTCATTATCATTTTTTTCTTTTTCTTCATTTCAACCACACATTTTTCAAATAAAATAATATTACACATAAATCTAAAATTTTTCATTACTTTTCAATCACCATTCTTCCATCAATCACTATTCCAAAAATTTTCAACTCATTAAAATGGNAAAAAAATAGGGCAATGCCCACCTTTGGGGGACCATCTTATCTAAAGGCGGTAAAGTTATAAGGTCAATTTTTTATTAATTTGGAAAATGAGAATTCTTAATTTAGTAGCAAGAAACAAACGTACGAAGAATAAAATAATGGAAATAAAAAAAGTAACGTTCACGTTTACTTTAGCGACTTTATCCCGTTTACTTTAACACGTTTTCAGAATCGTAGATTGCTTGTAATATGGGAGTTTGACGTACGAACCTGTTCACATGGCTCAATATATTAATCCAATCCCTTTTATTTTAAATGATTTAAATAATATTTTTTTAAATGATTTCCTAATTAAATTATTTAATAATATAATATATAATATTTATATTAATTTATGTTAATTAAGTCTTCGTTTGGCTCCATTAAAATCAAATTTTAGAGAAAATGTATTTCGAAATAATAATTTTTTGAAAAATGNATCAAATTTTGGAGAAAATGTATTTCGAAATAATAATTTTTTGAAAAATGTCTAGCTAAAAAAAGAAAGAAAAAATTTGAATTTATATGTGATATTATTATATTTAAAAATATGTGGTTGAAAAAAAATACATTTTGAATAGAATAGAGCCCAACAGGGGGCTAACTTTATGCCATATTTGTTTCGGATTAAAATCAAATTTTAATCTAAGTTAAAATCAAACAATCAATATTAACCACATCTTTCATGGGTCCCATAATTTTTCAATCACACATTTCAAAATTTTTTATCACAATCTATTAAAAATTCAATTTTGATCACCATTCACTAAATAAGACTGAATTAAATAATCAATGATAGATCCAAGTCAACTTTTCTAATAAGGTTAATTTTTTTAATGATTTGGATTTTATTGAAAATAAACCATAATTTGATTAAAAATAAAAATGTATATCGTATGAAAAAAGTCGCGCTCAAGTGCATAAATTATGCAATCGTGCTATATGTACACTTCATTTGACATCAAGTTTGACATTGTGCAGCGTGTTGTAGCATGAGTGGACAGTTTTAAAATAAAATACATTTTCCTGTCCATTTGCATTTGAAAATACATGGAGTGTCAAACTCCATGTCAATCAATTAATGTACAAAATACTTTATTCTAAATCATATCACAAGTAAAAAAGTGATAAATAATAAATAGTTGATGGAAAGAGGAAAAAAATTGCCACAAAAAGAGGAGGCATGCCCTCCATGACACGGCAAGGGTAACAAAAGTATCTATAATCATTTGTAAACAACAATGGAGAATTTTTGCTTTCTTTGTTTGGCAAAAGTTGGTATGCTTTATTGCTTTTTATGATTCTAATTTTTCAAGTGTCTTCACATGTACGGATGGCTACGATTAAATTCGGGAGGTGAGGGCCTCTCTCCCCGTCGGGAATTTTCAGTCATGTCAACTACTCGTCCTTCGTTTAAGACAAGGGCGAAGTCGAGACAAGAGAACATTTTTTTCCTGTTTATCATGATTTTTATATTTACTATGATTAATCTCTTTATTAAAAAAAACAAAGGTAAGATTCAGGTAAATGCGACAACTTCAACGCAAACACAATTATTTCCGTCCCCGACCAAGAGAAGAGACTTTAGATCCGTCCTGTCCTGTTTCGATTAATCGAGGAATCATCATGAAGATAGGTAAAATAGAGATTTTGCCATCCCTATGCACATGATATTTATTCTTATTTTTCTCTCCTATTTTAAAAATTATTTTCTATTATATTTGCATACTTTCAATCTATATAAATTGTATGTATTTTATTTTTCAATGTGCAAAGTCAATAATTAATTATATATCAGAGATATTTCACAATATCTCTGTATTTCATCACACCGTTTTTGTCTACAATACTAATATGAATAAAATACAGTTTAGCATTTAATATTAATTCATCTAAGAAATGTTAGCCAACAATTGTTTTCCAGTATCTCGAATTGACAAAACCATCCATTAAGCTAAAAAGTTAAGAATTATCAACTTCTACTGGAATGGCATAAAAGCATTTATCAAGATATTGTATATGTAAAAATTAAAAAAGAAAATTCAATATTTTTTTATCAACAACAAATCATTTGAAATTTTTATTTTTATTTTAGAAAATATTTAGTGATTTGGAGGGTTCATTTAAGCATAATGATCCAATGACTTTTTCACATCAATTCTGGAATCGAATCTGATCATTATGCCAGCCCCCTGTTCGATAAAGATTAAAATCAAATTTTTAGTTGATTTTGATAAAAGTTGATGAAATGTGTGATTGAAAAATTGTGAATTTAATAAAACATGTAATTAAAATTAATTGTTGACTTTAACTTGAAATTTTAATTCAAATCAAACCGTGCCCAAATAGCATTACTCAATTCAAAAAATAATGGACTTGGTGCAAAAGTAGAAGCCCACATTTTTGTCAAAGTCCAATCCAATGCTGCTTTTAATAGGAGTCTGCCCATATTCAATTTTGACAATAATTATCACATTATTATTTGGGAAAATTGGACCCAATGCCCTCTTAAACTAACTAAATTGAATAATACACTTTTAAAATAAATTAAACAATTCAACCAGTAATTAATACGTCCTAAATCTAAAATCCAATTTTCATTGAGTACTGGACATTGGTACCAATGGAAATGTCGGAATCTCCACGTCTAGTGACCAAACTGGTCGAAACTCACCACTGACCAGCTCCCCACCCCTGGACGACCTCACCCATAGAGGTGGCAACGAGCCGAGCCCGAGCTTTTTTGGACCGAGCTTTTTTTGGCCCGAGTCGAGCCGAGCCGGGCCCGGCCAAAAAAAATGAGGCTCGGCCCGAGCTTTAGGCTCGAGCCTTAGCGGGCCAGCCGAGCCGGCTCGGTCTTTTTTTTTTTTTTTTT